GAAGTCAGTAAATGAACTAATCTACAAGCGTGGTTATGGCAAAATCAAAAAGAAGTGAATTGCTTTGACAGACAATGCTTTGATTGCTCGATCTCTTGGTAAATATGGCATCATCTGCATGAAGGATCTGATTCATGGGATCTATACTGTTGGAAAACTCTGCAAAGAAACAAATAACTTCCTGTGGCCCTTCAAATTATCTTCTCCACAAGGTGGAATGAAGAAAAAGACCACCCATTTTGTAGAAGGTGGAGATGCTGGCAACAGGGAGGACCAGATCAACAGGCTTATTAGAAGAATGAACTAAGGTGTCTTCCATGATTATTTTTCTAAGCTGGTCAGTTAATAAACAGTACCTGCTCTCAAATTGAAAAATAAAAATAAAATAAAATCTTACTTCTAGCTTCAGTGTGTATAAGATCAACCCCTTCTGGGACCAACAGGTCACCTCCTTATTTACCTCCGATATACCTCTGATATTTATTATATATTAAATATACCTGCGATATTTACCAAGAGATCGAGCAATCAAAGCATTGTCTGTCAAAGCAATTCACTTCTTATTGATTTTGCCATAACCACGCTTGTAGATTAGTTCATTTACTGACTTCAGATTTTGGGTACCCCCATGCAATGTGTGGCTCTACAATCCTCAGCATGTTAACTGAAGCCTTGTTGAGCTTCACAAAGGTTCCATTGAAGATTTGATGAAGGCGAAGAAGCTGCAACACCTTTTGGACCTTTGGGCTCACACCATTGATACCTCTGAATTAATACAAGGCCAAGCTGGGTGTGGTGGTTCGTGTCTGTAGTCTTAGCTGCTCAGGAGGCTGAGGTGGGAGACTGCTTGATGCCAAGAGTTTGAGGCTGTACTGCACTATGATTGCACCTGTGAATAGCTATTGCACTCTGGCCTGGGCAATATAGCAACACCCTGTCTCTAAAAAAAAAAGAAAAAGAAAAATGGCCCGTCCATGTATTTGAAAATTTCACTACCAATCTTTGATTTGGTCCTATTACAATGATGATGAAATATGATTAAGAATTGCAAGGGCGTCATAGAGTACCTTCCACTTTATCATCAACAGATATGATCTGCATTTCCAAACCACTCACCTATGATCCACAACAAGAGATTTAGTGTTCTGGGGAAGACCTGAGATAAACTACGTTTGATCCTCGAGGAAATGGACCTTATCAGATACTGTTAACAACTGACGCAGCAGTAATACTCCAAAGTATGGATCCTTAGGTTAACTATTTCCTAGCTCAAAAGACATAAATTTCCTCCGGACTCTGGGACACCCATTCCACTGGAAATCTTTGTTTTTTTTTTTTTTTGTTTTTTGTTTTTTTTTTTTTTTTTGAGACGGAGTCTTGCTCTGCCGCCCAGGCTGGAGTGCAGTGGCCGGATCTCAGCTCACTGCAAACTCCACCTCCCGGGTTCACGCCATTCTCCTGCCTCAGCCTCCCGAGTAGCTGGGACTACAGGCGCCCGCCACCACGCCCGGCTAGTTTTTTGTATATTTTAGTAGAGACGGGGTTTCACCATGTTAGCCAGGATGGTCTCGATCTCCTGACCTCGTGATCCGCCCGTCTCGGCCTCCCAAAGTGCTGGGATTACAGGCTTGAGCCACCGCGCCCGGCCTGTTTTTTTTTTTTTTTTTTTTTTGAGGTGGAGTCTCGCTCTGTCGCCCAGGCTGCAGTGCAGTGGCTCGATCTTGGCTCACTGCAAGCTCCGCCTCCCGGGTTCACGCCATTCTCCTGCCTCAGCCTCCTGAGTAGCTGGGACTACAGGCACCTGCCACCACGCCTGGCTAATTTTTTGTATTTTTTAGTATAGACGGGGTTTCACCATGTTAGCCAGGATGGTCTTGATCTCCTGAGCTTGTGATGCGCCCGCCTCGGCCTCCCAAAGTGCTGGGATTACAGGCGTGAGCCACCGCACCCGGCCGCCACTGGAAATCTTCAACTGAGATTCTTAGGTGTGCTGCAGAAGATGCTGACTTCCGAAGTGGATAGCTTCTGCCCCGCACTCTGGATAAGGATTAACATTCTGACCCAACACCCTTTCCTGGCTATTATTCTACTTTGAAGCCACCTAAATATTAATGTTAGCTTCCTTATTTTTATCCTATTACTTCTTTTCTTTTTTTTTTTTTTAGAGCCAGGGTCTCACTCTGTTGCTCAGGCTGGAGTGCAGTGGAACAATCATAGCTCACTGCAACCTCAGACTCCTGGGCTCTAGTGATCCTCCCACCTCAGTTTCCCAAGTACCTGGTATGATGGGCACAAGCCACTGTACCTGGCCCTCATCCTATTACTTCTGACCTCTTATGTTCTCGATCTACCACTTAATAGAAAACAAAATTTTCTTATACTTTTTTTTTTTCCCAGACCATTGCTGCCACTCCGAATCTAACAACCCTGCTGACAAAAATTTCATAGCTGTCCTTTTAAAAACTTCACAAGGCAACCTCCCTTTAACTGGCTCCTTATGGTAATTATGTTTCACTCACATCATTAATCCCAATCTTCAGTCTTGCAACAATTGCGCTTGGACTTCATGCCAACAAATTGCTTCTGCTGAGGCCGTTACAAGGCCAATCAATCAGGACTAATATTGGGTTTATTCTGGCTACCATGGTTGTTTGCTTTCTTCAGAGACATCTGAGCATGCTTTGCAGAAACTATTTAATTCTACTCAAGGAATCTGTTCATCTTGAGGAACACAAAAGTGACTCATTCCTATTGTAATAAATGATACTTAATACCAGTGTAATCAGTGCTCCACTAAAATCCTATTTCTTACATGACATCAGGCTCATTCTGTCCACTGCCCAGTAACTTACCCTGTGATTCCAATGAATTGTTACAGATTGCAAGATATTTAAAACTACCATCCCACCAGGAAATCATGTTTTCTTAAAAAAGATATCCAGAAGTGCCCAGGCGCGGTGGCTCACACCTGTAATCCCAGCACTTTGGGAGGCTGAGGGGGGCAGATCACCTGAGGTGGGAGTTCGAGACCAGCCTGACCAACATGGAGAAACCTTGTCTCTACTAAAAATACAAACTTAGCTGGGCATGGTGGCGCATGCCTGTAATCTCAGCTACTCGGGAGGCTGAGGCAGGAGAACGGCTTGAACCTGGGAGGTGGAGGTTGTGGTGAGCTGAGATCACGCCATTGCACTCCAGCCTGGGCAACAAGGGCGAAACTCCCATCTCAAAAAAAAAAAAAAAAAAAAATACCAAGAGCTTCTAAAATGAGGAAAGCACAGGTCATCTGGTAGACCATCCAGGAAGGATAACTGATTTCTCTCATACAGGATGCAATTCCCATAGTAGGAATAAACCAAGATATATGCAGCAAAATTTGACAGAACTGAAGGGAGAAATAGACAGTTCTACATTAACAATGGGAGGCTTTAAAACCCCTCTTTCAATTTTGGAAAGGCTGAGACAGAACGTCAGTAAGGAAATGCAGAATGTGAACACACAGTGAACCAGTTAGATCTCACAGACATGCAGAAAATGAACTGACAACAGCGTGCACATTCTTCCCCAGGGCACTACTTCTGCCTCCTCCATCCCCGCTGCTCCTGATCCCTGTCCACAGACCCACTTCCCGCGCTGGTGTGATCCTCGTGGCCACTGTGGCCCTTACTTTGGAGATCCTGCTGTTCCAGTCCTTCCCGCCTTCTGCAGAGCTGTACTCCTCCTTCTGAAGAAGCCACCTGGGGCCCATCTTCCTGGCTCCTCAGAGTCCTTGCAACAGCGGGCACTACTTCTCAACCCCTCTCCCACTCCACTGCCTCTCAGTGTGCAAAAACACTAAGAAGTGTCCCGTATTTTCAAAATATCTCCCCTGTAGTTCCCACCTGACTTCTAGTCGTAGGTGGCCAAAGTACAATGTCTTTGAAGGATTGTTTTCCAGTGCCTGGAATATGGTAGGATCTCAACAACTGTTGTTTCAATAAAGGAATTACCAAATGGGTGAATACTAATGTAACAATATCAGTTCTGGTTTCTTTCATAATTATTATTCTAATGAGTGTTAGCTTTCTTAAAAAATCATTTTCACAATTGGACCTAGACATTTTATCTTTCCCAGCTCAAGACGGATAAACGCAGAATGACAGGCCAGGCACCGTGGCTCATGCCTGTAATCCCAGCACTTCGGGAGGCGGAGGCCGGTGGATCACTTGAGACCAGGAGTTCAAGACCTGTCTGGTCAACAGGGTGAAACCCCATCTCTACAGAAAATACAAAGAAGTTAGCAGGGCGTCGTGGCGCTCACCTGTAATCCCGGCTGCTCGGGAGGCTGACGCAGGAGAATCACTTGAGCCCGGGAGGCGGAGGTTGCAATGAGCCGAGATCGCACTACTGCACTCCAGACTGGGCAACAGGGTGAGTCTCCGTTTCAAAAAAAAAAAGACGCAGAATGATAAATTCTTAATATCTTAATGTATAATGAGAAGTATAACTATTCAGAAGTCCAAGCACTTGTGTGTGCATGGTGCTATCGCCTTGCTGTAGGCAAACCTACATGGGAATCCACCTTGACACACAGGCCACTTCCTGAGCCTGGACCGTCTCAGAGCTGGGGAACTGGCCCAGCGCAAAAGGGTCGGGAGCATCTGGGACAGAGACTGCGCTCTACCAGCTTCAGTGACATGGCCTCCATCCACGCTCCCCAACTCAGCAGAGAGAGCACACCATCAGACTTCTAAGACTTAGTTGCCAAGAAGTGTTGAATTAAACTCTCTGAGACCTCTCTTTGGTCTGACTCTGGCAGCCTCAGTTTCCCAGAGCCTGTGGAAACTCGGCAGCCGAGAGGCGGAAGGCTGGGCCACGTCCGGAGAAGAAGGAACCTGGGAAATAACTTTTCTCTTAGGATCTGGCTTGACTCTCACGGGCACAGCCAAGTCCCTGGGGACCCAGCAGAGTTCTGAAGCGCGTCGGGGCGCGGTGGGGTGGGGCGGGGCGCGGCAGGGTGGAACGCCCCAGGGCGGGGCTACGGAAGCTGGCGAGGTCCAGCCCCGCCTGGGGCCTCCGGACGTTGCTCCCTGAACCCTCGGAGGTGGCGGTGGATCTTACTCCTTCCAGCCAGTGAGGATCCAGCAATCTTCTCCGTGCCTCCCCCCGCGCCTGTTGGTTGGAAGTGACAACCTTGAAGATCGGCCGGTTGGAAGTGAAGACCTTGAAGATCGGCGGGCGCAGCGGGGCCGAGGGGGCGGGTCTGGCACTAGGTCCCGCCCCTGCACGCCAGGAACCCCAGAGGAAGTCGCAGTTCAGCCCAGCTGAGTCCTGTCTGCAGAATCCACACCAACCAGCATCATGTCCATGACACTGGGGTACTGGGACATCCGCGGGGTTAGTGAGGGTCCGCTGCACGGTGGGACCGGGCGCGTGGGCGGGAAGTGCCGAGCGGCTGGGGACCGGCTCTAGGGATGGTTCCTCTTTAGGGCTATCTCTCACAGGAGGGCCTGTGCATGCCTCTGTGTGTGTGTGTGTGTGTGTGTGTGTGTGCCGGGGAGGCGGAGAGGGGTGCAGTGCAGTGTAGACTGGGGGAAGAAGAAGGGCAGGTGTGTAGGTGCGTGCAGTGTAGACTGGGGGCTCGCCTGGTGCAGAGAAATTCACCAAGTCAGGGACCTACCATCTCTGACCCGAGCTGCGGGCCATCTCTCCCAGCTGGCCCACGCCATCCGCCTGCTCCTGGAATACACAGACTCAAGCTATGAGGAAAAGAAGTACACAATGGGGGACGGTAATGGGCACCCTCGTGTCCGGGCCCTGCCCACTCCCGCTGAGTTGGCACCAAGCAACCCATGGTGGCCACCTGTGGCTGACTCTGCAGGCCTCCCCTGCTGGAGCTGCAGGCTGTCCCTTCCCTGAGCCCTGGTGAGGGAGCCCTCTGGCCTTGCAAGGCAGAATGCTGGGGCGGGATGCTGGGCCCCTTGTCTGGGTAACTGGGATGGGTGTTCCTCAGAGCTTGCTTAAACCCTGGAAGCCTTAGTCGCGTGGGGTCCAGAGCCCTCACCGGGATTCTTTCTCTCTGAACCCTGGGATGCAGGGCTGCGTAGTCAGATTCTAGATCCACCTGTCTCAGGGGTCTTGCCACTGGCTCCTTGGGAGGGTCCCGGGGAAGGAGGGCTGGGCTCTGGGGAGGTTTGTTTTCACTTCATCTTCCCCACCACAGCTCCTGACTATGACAGAAGCCAGTGGCTGAATGAAAAATTCAAGCTGGGCCTGGACTTTCCCAATGTAGGTGCAGGGGAAGGGGCGGTTTTGGGGGAAAGTGCAACGTGTCTCTGACCCCATCTCCTCTCCCAGCTTAGAGGGGTTAGGATCCGGAGTCTTCTGCCCAATTCCCTCACTCCTGGCTGTCTACACAGCCCTTCCATGATGTTCTGTGTCCAAGCTCATTCGTCCATATGACAGTATTCTTATTTCAGGCCTGCCATGAGCAGGCACAGTGAGTGCCCGGTCTCCTCTCTTCTCGTAAGTCCTTGCTTATGAGAAGGGGATGCTGGGGAACCTGGTGGCCCAACTGAGCTTCCCCGGTTTCCCATTCATCCAGCTGCCCTACTTGATTGATGGGACTCACAAGATCACCCAGAGCAACGCCATCCTGCGCTACATTGCCCGCAAGCACAACCTGTGTGAGTGTGGTTTGCTGCAGTGTGTGGGGGGAAGGTGGCCTCCTCCTTGGCTGGATTGGGGTGCGATGCTCAGAGTGAGTGTGTTTTGTGGGTGGCAGGTGGGGAGACAGAAGAGGAGAAGATTCGTGTGGACATTTTGGAGAACCAGGCTATGGACGTCTCCAATCAGCTGGCCAGAGTCTGCTACAGCCCTGATTTTGTGAGTCCCTCCCTGGTCTGGGCTAGAAGCCAGACTTCTTGTATTCCCATCTACTCTGGTCCTATTCACAATTTGAACTCCTCACTGCTCTTGGTTCTCTCAGGGTTCCCTGTACTGTAGCAGAGTGACTGACATATCATTAAACTCTATAAAATAAAAACTTGAAATCAGTCCCCACCAATCATAGGAAGTCCGTACATCCCAAGCTAGAAATTCAGTTCCTAGACAATAAAGTCATGCATTCAGAATTCCCTTCACCTCTGACCCCTGACCTTTGCCACGGGTCATCTAACCCAGCTGGTTCACTCCATCTACCTGTTTGGGGAATACGCAGACTCACACTATGGGGTAAAGAAGTACGTAGTGGAGAAGTAATAGCACCCTCCTCTGTGGAATTCCATGCTATTCTTTTCCTAGTGCTTCTCCTTGACACGCACAGGGATGAATGCATTTTCCTAACAGGCAGCTCAGTGGTGGCCAGAGGGCCTTTGTTCCTCTGTCTGCTTCCACTCAGCCTCTCAAAATCTCATCTCTCCAGAAACTACTCAATGTCCATTTAATTATTCTGCCACTCCACTAGGAGGAACTTTCAACTTCTTTCTCTGAGCTCCTTTAGTTCTTTGTATCCTTGATTCTGCTCGTGTCTGGGTCCAGAGCCTGCCAGGTGCTCAGGTGCTCCTGGGCTGACCCAGAGGAGTGTGGTTGGGAGGTCAGTGGGGACAGATTCAGGTATAGTGTTGTGTTCCTCTCTGCCATCCCATTGCCACAAAAGCCTCCAGCTACCCATTTGGAGCCTAATAAATGCTGGTATGTCCAGCTAAGCCAGTTCCAGCTGTGGGGAAGATGGCTGCTTGCTCGTGGTCAGCTGGGGCCATACGCAGAACTGGGGAGGCCGCATCTGTGCAGGGATCTTGTGTCTGACGGTGGTGACAGCTGTTTTCTGCCTCAGGAGAAACTGAAGCCAGAATACTTGGAGGGACTTCCTACAATGATGCAGCACTTCTCACAGTTCCTGGGGAAGAGGCCATGGTTTGTTGGAGACAAGGTAATGGGGTCATGTGATGGGGACACTAGAGATTTGTCATACATCCTATGTTACGGAGGTTCCAGCCCACACATTCTTGGCCTTCTGCAGATCACCTTTGTAGATTTCCTCGCCTATGATGTCCTTGATCTCCACCGTATATTTGAGCCAAAGTGCTTGGACGCCTTCCCAAATCTGAAGGACTTCATCTCCCACTTTGAGGTGATGCCCCCATCCTCCTTTCTCTTTGATGCCCCTTGTTCCGTTACCTCCTTTGAGATGCTTTCCCAGTCCTGGAGCTACACAAAGAATAACTTGCATTTATTGAGTGCTGGCTTTATGCCAGGAACCGTGCCCAGCACTTAATACCTATTGTGTGGAATTTGAACTTTACAGCATTCCTACAGGGTGACAGAATTATCTTGCCCATTTTAGAGATAAGGAAACTGAGAATGAGAGGGTCAGGCCTTTGCTCAGGGTCCCAGAGCCAGTGGAGGCTGTGCTGGGCTCCCTGTGAGCCTCTGGATCTATGGGCAGCAGTCAGGGCTCTCCCTTTTGTGACAAAAGAAAAAAGCCTCAGGCCTCATCCAGCCTGGGTTTCACAACCCAGGACACTTTGGAAGAGGCAGAGAACTTTAGGAGTGCGGATGCAGCTGGCAATAGTAGGACTGACACACCGTGGCATTGATGTCGAGTATGAAACCCACAGGCAGTATTCGTAGCTACCCCCAGAAGCTTTGCATGGTTGGACCCCCATGTGGAAAATCCTGAGATATGGAGCTGAGGCTGGAGCTGGATTAGGGGACATATGTGGGTGCCCCTGTTGAAGGAGTGTGTGTTGAGGTGCTCTGTGCTGGGGCAGTGTCCTTCTTTATCTTTCTTCCTCTCTTTTTTCCCTCCAATGTTCCAAGTGTTCCCCCTGTGAGATGAGGAGCACACTGATTTTACTCCTATTCACCGACCTTCTCCTCTGCATGAGGCAGGGTGTGAGGCACAGTGGGAGATGCATAGATGACCGCCCCATCCTGGAAAAGAGTGCAGCGAGAGGCCTGCAGTGCAGGCAGAGCAGCCTGTGAGGTGTGTGTGGTACCACCTGGGTACCGGGCCCAGGGCCTGCCCCCACTCACGGGGAACCATCTCACCCGTGCTGAAGTTGTTTGAGAGCAGCAAATCCTACTTTAGTACAGATTTGGGAATTTGAGGCATTAGTCCAACAAGTTTTTCAGCCTAGAATTTGTTTTCCTTTCCCACTCCCCATCAAGAGATCTGGTTACTCAGCTAGTTCCCATCAGCTCTGGCTCTGGTCCCGGCTGAGTGGCCTTGGGGTTATGTAAGAGGTGGTGGGAGGGGAGGAGAGCTGAGGGCTGCAGCATACGGTCCATCTGGGCATGGCCCTTTGGGAATAGGCAGCCCTGGCTCTGACTGAATCCTTAGAAATTACATGGCCATTTGATCCTGGGAAGATTGTGCAGAGCACACCTGAGTGTCATACAGCCTGGTCTGTGGTAGTGGGGTTGGAGATGAGGTGGGTTAGGGCACAGTGGTATTTAGCTCAGGTACCAGGTGGGGAGGTTTAGACTTTCTGCTTTACAAGGAATAATTAGAGCCTGGTCTGACCTTTCTTTTGCTGGCCCAACACACCTTGTCCACTTTCATCAGGTTTTGCCTGGTCCTTGGGTGAGATCTGGGCTCTCTTCCAGGCTGCACGGACATTTTCAGATGTCCCCTCTGTGTGTGCAAACCTAGGCAAGCCAGGAGCCTCCCCGTGAAACAGAAGAATGTTGTACAGTCAGACAGCAAGAGGACCTCCTGAGGGATTTGGGGGAGGATGGGAATTTGGCAGAAAGAGGCCAGAACTGGAGAGAGACAGAACCAGGCTACACTGCAGCTCTGTCCCCCTTACTAGCTATTTGAGTGTGAGGTAGTTGCTGGACTTCTGTTTCCCACATGAGAAATGGTGATAATAGATTCAGCCTTGCAGAAGAGTCAAGTGGATTTTCTAAGCTTATGTTGTAATTTCTCTTGGATATAGACCACCCAGCACAGTGTAGAATCTTCATAAGTGGTAGCTGTTATTATGGTATGACATTATTTTAAGGAAATTGGAAGAGTTAACTCTGCAGATCTGGGGACCCTAAGAGGCTGTGTGATGTCCCAGCACTGGAGCCCATGTGGAAAGGCTGTGGCCAGGGCCCTGACCTGCTGTGTCTGCAGTGGGGTTACCCCAGCCCTCATGGGCAGCTGACCTTGAGCTCTGGCCTTATTTTCCCCCATCTCAGGGCTTGGAGAAGATCTCTGCCTACATGAAGTCCAGCCGCTTCCTCCCAAAACCTCTGTACACAAGGGTGGCTGTCTGGGGCAACAAGTAATGCCTTGAAGGCCAGGAGGTGGGAGTGAGGAGCCCATACTCAGCCCTCTGCCCAGGCTGTGGAGTGAAGCTGGACTGTGCATCCCAGCACCTGGCTCCTTGTCCTTTTCTCCTGTTTATTCCCATCTTTACCCCCGAGACTTTATTGGACTTCCTCACTTCCCCTAAACCCCTGTCCCATGCAGGCCCTTTAAAGCCTCAGTTACCCACTTTCCTTCATGAAGATCACCCTCCCAACATTACCCTTCCCTGCACTAAAGCCAGCCTGACCTTCCTTCCTGTTAGTGGTTGTGTCTGCTTTGAGGGGCCTACCTAGCCCCTCGCCTGTGGAGCTCAGCCCCGAGCTGTCCCCGTGCTGCATGAAAGAGCAGCATTGACTGGTTTACAGGCCCTGCTCCTGCAGCATGGCCCCTGCCTTAGGCCTTCCTGATCAAAATAAAGCCTCAATCACACTTGCTATATATAGTCTTGTCTTATTTGCTCCTGGCTGCCCAGACCGTGTCTGTCACTGCTCCTTCCGAGGGACTGGCTGGTGACCCTGGCGGTAGCTGTGTTCATAGAGATTATGACGGGCTTAGTAAGGTGTTTCCAACTTTTTTTTTTTTTGAAACAAAGTCTCCTGCTTTCCAAGGTGAAGGGCACTGGTGGGATCATAGCTTACTGTAGCATCCAGTCCTGGGCTCAAGCAATCCTTCCACTTCAGCCTCCCAAATGGCTGAGACTATAGGTGTGCCACCACACCTGGCCGTATTTAAAAAATTTTTGTGAGATGGTGTCTCTTTATGTTTCCCAGGTTGGTCAGGAACTCCTGAGCTCAAGCAATCCTCTTACCTTGGCATCCCAAAATGCTGGGATTGCAGGTATGAGCCACCACGCCTGGCCCTGTTTCCAACTTCTTGATCCCTTTTCTGATCGCCTTAGAGCAGGAAGCCACATAAAGTGCTCTATAGAAAGGATGCCTCTTTCTGGGCCTAGATCTTCATTTATTTATATTCAGTATTATTCAGTGCTTTCCATGGTTAGGCAGAGCTAGTCTCAGAGAATAAGTCTTAGATGCCTAGAGGTGGTGGAATTCCCGTCACAGAGAACAAGGATCCTTCTGTCTTCCACACTGTCTGACTCCCATCACAGCTCTTAGATCTCTAGGACCCAAGCTCTACTGTGAGCTGCTCCACCGGAAGGTTCTCCCAGCTCAGCAGTTCCCAAGCTGTGTTACCACGAATAGTTGTTGATTTTTTGGGTCAGGAATTCAGGTAATGCTCAGCAGGGAGAACTTACTACAAATCAACAAAGATCTCTTCTCCAAAAACTGTGTATCCAAAAATACAACCCATTAAAAGATGACTGAAAACTTGAACAGGCATTTCTGAAAAATGAATATCCAAATGGCCAATAAGCTCATGTGAAGATGCTCAACATCATTAGACAGCAGAAAGTTAAAAACCCGTAGATCCTACTGTATCCCCACTAGAATGGCTGACATTGAAAGGACTGACAATTGTTGGTGATTTATGGAGTAACTTGAACTGTCATGCCTTGCTGGTGGGAGAGCCACTTTGGAATACTGGCAGCGTCAACTAGAGCTAAATATGCATCTACCCAGGACCCAGAAGTCCCACCCTACAGGAATGAGTCCTAATGGATTCCAAGAGCCGGGTATAATGATGCCAAAAGCAACTTTATTTTAAATAGCCAATAACTGAAAACAATCCAAATTCCCTGAATAGAAGAATGAGCAAATGAACTGTGGTTTATCAACATAATTCCATCATTCGTATAATGGAATACTTACTCCGCTATAATAAAAATAAACGTGCTAATGCTATGTGCAAAAACATGGATGGGTCTCACAGATGTGTTCAGTAAAAGGATCCAGACAGGAGAAAGGACACACGATCTCATTCCACTTACACGAAAATCAGGAGAGGGAAATGAGTCCATGGTATCACAGGTCAGGTGATTGGTGACCCTGGTGAGAACTGGAAGGTTGCCTATTGAAGGCGCCTGGTGGAGTGCTGTAAGTTTTCTCTCTTTATCTGGGAGGTGATTCCAGAAGAGTATAGAAGTGGAAAAGCCCACAGGGTAGCACACTTAAGGCCTGTGCACTGTATGTACATTACACTTCAATGAAAACCATGCACAAAAGTCTTATACCATTTGTGTGCTTGTGTGTGTTTGCTTTTCCTCATAAGATATCAACGTCATGAGGGGATGTGTTTTTGTCTCTTCTTGTTCACTGATGTTACAGGTGTTTGCATATCACTTAGGACAGTCCCTGAGCATAGTAGGTTCTCACTGAATAGTTATTAAGCAAATTATACGCTTATCGTAGTGTGTCACTTCAAATTCTCTTAGGTTTGTATTCATGCCTACTTCTTTGGATAGGTGAGATTGATGTGCATACACACTCTTAGGTTCTACAGTTTTTTTCTCTTTAACATTTTACTTAAGAATCTGTACATGTTGGCAGTCTATATGCATGCCTATTTCTAACATTTAATGACTATCATTACTTCCTGTGGATAAATTATAGTTTGCCTAGTCATTCTTACCCTATTGGGCATGTGGATTTTTCTAATTTATTTCTTTTTATAACAGGGTGATGATGTTTAAACTAATTCCTTCTCTGGTTTTTGGTTACTTTATTTGAGTTGGTCCCCAAAGGCAATTACTACAAGGCAAAAGGTGAGGATGATGTTATGGTATTATCGTAGATAAATTGATTGCTATCCAGAGAGAATAGCTTTTTTTTTTTTTTTTTTTTTTTTTTGATATGGAGTCTCGCTTTGTCACCCAGGCTGGAGTGCAGTGGCGTGATCTCAGCTCACTGCAAGCTCCACCTCCTGGGTTACAGCAATTCTTCTGCCTCTGCCTCCTGAGTAGCTGAGATTACAGGTGCGCACCACCACGCCCAGCTAATTTTTGTATTTTTAGTAGAAATGGGGTTTCACCATATTGGCCAGGCTGGTCTCAGACTCCTGACCTCAGGTGATCTGCCTGCCTCAGCCATCCAAAGTGTTAGGATTACAAGCGTGAGCCACCATGCCCGGCCCAGAGAGAATAACTTAATTTATGGTGCCATCTGCAAGGCACATGGATCTTTCTGCACTACCTTAGGTACTTGAGGGATCGCAGTTTCATCTTATGATATTTTTAAAGATTTATAAGAATACCTTCAAGTTTTCTACCTTCACCTTTTTTGTTTATTGTGTGTGCATGTTTCTGCCAATGAATCACAGTCTATGAATCTACCTGTCCTTGAATCTCCTGTATAAAACTCTCTGTTTACCCATTCTCTGCCTGTGGCTTAGTCAATTCCTGGAGAAAGGTTAAAGAATGATCTTGTGGCAGTCAAAGCTTTTTCTCCGATAGGCACAATGTAATTAATTGTGATTCTGTTCTAGGTTTCCTGTGGCATAATGTGATGGTTAATTTTCTGCATCAACTTGACTGGGCTAAGGGATGCTCACATGGCTGGTAAAATTATTGTGTTTGTGAGGGTATTTCCAGAAGAGATTCACCTTTGAATCAGAAGACTGAGCAAAGATTTCCTTCAGCAATGAAGGGGGGCATCCACTAAACTGTCAGGGCCCAGAGAGAAGAAAAAGACAGAGGAAGGGTGAATTTGATCTTTCTGACTGGGACATCCATCTCCGCCTATCCCGGGACATCCACACTCCTGGTTCTCTGGCCTTCAGACTTGATCAGGGACTAACAGCATCGCCTCCCACCCTTACCTTTGTTCTGAGGCCTTTAGACTCTGAATGATAGCACTGGCTTTCCCCCTTCTCTATCCTGCAGTCGGCAGATCGTGGGACTTCATTCCAAAACTGTGTGAGCCAATTCCCATAACAGATAGATACATTTATAAATAAATGCACACATTTCCTACAGGCTTATCTTAGTGGCGTCACTTCAAATTTTGAAGAACCCTTTCTAGTATAGCAAACAACAACAACAAACAAACAAAAAAACTACAAGTGGGTCACCATCATCAATGAGTAAGTTTTAAAAAATCAAACACAAGATAAAACGCTACAGCATATCTATTACCTGTGGGCTTTTTCTATATGTAAAGAACTGTCTGAGATGCCTTGCAGTAAACTGCAAGGAGATTTTGAGGGAAGGTATCCTCTTTTCTCCTGGTAAATCTCCCCATTGACCATTATTTTAAAGGCTCCAAAGATCAAAACACCTGCTTGCACAATTTGCCGATTCATTTTGGGTGAGGGTCTCTGGCAGGCTTGGAAGGGTGGGTGAACAGTGGGAAGGGGGCTGCCTCTGTGGTTACTAGCATCACTCATGTCTACGTCTGTGGCAGTCATCAGGTGCTTATTATATATTCAACTTTTGGCCACCCCTATGGGGGTGTTAAATGTAGCGAGAGTCCAGTCAGGTCATTGCAAATTGGCAGTGACTTTTGAGACCTTTCTACGCACGATAGTCAGGTAGATACCTTCTTTTTAAATTTGACTTTTTTTTACTTTTTTTTTTTTTTGAGACAGGGTCTCACTCTGTCACCCAGGCTGGAGTGCAGTGGTGTGATCACGGCTCACTGCAGCCTCAACTTCTCAGGCTCCAGTGATCCTCCCACCTCAGCTTCTCAAGTAGCTGGGACCACAGGCAAGGGCCACCATGGCCAGCTAGTTTTCGTGTATTTGGTAGACAGTGTTTCAGCATGCTTCCCAGGCTGGGTGGATACCTTCCAAAAATAAGTTCAGTTCATCCTGCCTAGCCTTACCCCAGCAGCTTAAAGGAATTACCCACTCTGGTGCTGGGCTCAGGCTGCCTGGCTCTGGAACAATGTGCTCAGAGCTGCAGAGGGAGGCCTGCAGGCTGTCTGGCAGAAAGAGTCCCACACTCCCTACCGTGTATCCTGGAAGACCAGGCTGCCCAGCCTGTCCACCTGGTAGACCGTTTCCCTGCCCAGTTCTCCTTCTCTCATTCCTGATGTGCAGCTTGATTCCTGCAGGGACTGCACCGGCTGAGATTATCTCAAGGTCCTCCCTTCTGCCAGCTAGTGTTCAGGGAAGTGGGTCCTCTGGTCTCCTTCCTGCCACCAGAATTTTGAGGGCCTTGTTTCTCCCACTGCAACTTTTGACCCATTCCTGGGTTCCTTCCTTCCCTTTCTCCCTCCCTCCCTCCCTCCTTCCTTCTTTCCTTCCTTCCTTCCTTCCTTCCTTCCTTCCTTCCTTCCTTCCTTCCTTCCTTCCTTCCTTCTTCCTTCCTCTCTTTCTCTTCTTCTCTTTCTTTCTTTCTTTCTTTCTTTCTTTCTTTCTTTCTTTCTTTCTTTCTTTCTTTCTTTCTTTCTCTCTCTCTCTCTCTCTCTCTCTCTCTCTCTCTCTCTTCTCTCTCTTTCTTGACAGAGTCTCACTTTGTCACCTAGGCTGGAGTGCAGTGGTGCAACCCCAGCTCACTGCAACCTCTGCCTCCCTGGTTCGAGCGATTCTCCTGCCTCAGCCTCCTGAGTAGCTGGGATTACAGGCACCTGCCACCAGGTCTGGCTAATTTTTTGTATTTTTAGTAGAGTCGGGGTTTCACCACGTTGGCTGGATTTTAGATGAGAGTTTCTTCACCTCAGCAGTACTGTCATTTTGGAGGGCAGAATTCTTTGTTGTGGTGCACTGTCCTGTCGCAGGGTGTTCAGCGTCCTAACCAAACTCTACCCACTAGATGCCATGGGCGCTTCCCAGTGGTGACAATTAACAAAGTCTCCAGACAGACCTACGTGTCCCCTGAGGGGCAAAGTTACCTCCACTTGAAGACCAGTGATGTGCTGGATGGAGACTAGTATTAAAATAATAATAGAAATCATAATGTAACTCATGTACTTAAGGTAAGTCGTTTTTGATGCAACATTTATTTCAGTTAATAATATTTGTATATGTCCGTCCTGGTAGTTTGTTTTTTTAAACTTTTTATTTTGATTTAATATCAGAGTTTGAAAAATTTGCAAAAGGAATTAATACAAAGACCTCTGATTACCCCAGATTCTAACGTTTCCACATGGGCTTTCTCCTCCCTCCTCCTGAGTCCCCCAGCCCCTGCTCCCAGCCTTTCTCTCTCCCTACCCAGCAAGCTCCCTAGGAGCACAGCACCACTTATGACAAAAACATCATTTTCTTTTCTCTGAGGCGGCATTCCTGACGTTTGGATTTAGGCTGATAAGTGACAGTTACAATCATCCTTGCCTGTGTTGTCCTTCCCATGTTAGGTCTGTCATGCCATGTGTGTCTGCAGTTTATAACAATCTATATCATACATGCCTTTTGAAAAGTTTTGAAAACTTATCCAGTGAATCCCTGAGCACCAAATGTTCTTTTGTGTTATTTTTCTTTATTAGGCTATTATTACTTTATTCAGAATCTCTCTCTCTTTTTTAGAGAGAGCCTTTCTTTCTTGCCTAACCTAGAGTGCAGCGGCGCAATCATAGCTCAGTTCAGCCTCGAACCCCTGGGCTCAAACAGTTCTCCCCCTACCACCGCCCCCGCCGGGCTTCTGGGCATGGTTAACTCTCTCCTGGAACCCTTGGGGCTGGGAGGTGGGAGGGGATCTTATTCCTTCCAGCCCCGGGAGCGCGCTTCGGGCCTCCAGATTGGCGCATTTCGGGGGCAGAGCGGGCCGAGGGGCGGGGTCTCAGCAAGGCTCCCTCTCTACCCTCTCTGGGCCTCTCACAAAGTCTGAGCCCCGCCCCGCCGAAGCCTGTCTGCAGAATCCGCAGCAACCAGCACCATGCCCATGACACTGGGGTACTGGAACATCCGCGGGGTGAGCGAGGGTCCGCTGGGACGGGGGGCGCGGGGGTGGGGAAGTGTGGAGCAGCTGCGGGACGGGCTCTAGGGAAGGTTCCTCTTCAGCGCTGCCCCTCACAGGAGGGCCTGTGCTTGCCGCTGTGTGTGCGTGTGGCGGGGCGGGGTGGGGGGAGGTGTGAGGCAGGAAGGAGAGGAGGCGATGGGTATGTGCAGTGTAAACTGGGGGCTCCCCTTGTGCAGAGAAGTCCCCAAGTCAGGGACCCTCCATCTCTGACCCGAGCTGCGGGCCATCTCTCCCAGCTGGCCCACTCCATCCGCCTGCTCCTGGAATACACAGGCTCAAGTTACGAGGAAAAGAAGTACACAATGGGGGATGGTAATGGCACCCTCGTGTCTGGGCCCTGCCCACTCACACTAGGCTGGCACCAAGCAACCCATGGTGGCCACCTGTGGCTGCCTCTGCAGGCCTCTCCTGCTGGAGCTGCAGGCTGTCCCTTCCCTGAGCCCTGGTGAGGGAGCCCTCTGGCCTTGCAAGGCAGAATGCTGGGGTGGGATGCTGAGCCCCCTGTCTGATTGGGTTGGGTGTCCCTTAGGGGTTGCCTAAACCCTGGAAGCCTTAGCCTTGTGGGGTCCAGAGCCCTCAACGAGATTCTTTCTCTCTGAACCCTGGGATGCGGGGCTGAGTGGTCAGATTCTAGATCCCCCTGTCTCAGGGGTCTTGCCACTGGCTCCTGGGGAGGGTCCCGGGGAAGGAGGGCTGGGCTCTGGGGAGGTTTGTTTTCACTTCATCTTCCCCACCACAGCTCCTGACTATGACAGAAGCCAGTGGCTGAATGAAAAATTCAAGCTGGGCCTGGACTTTCCCAATGTAGGTGCAGGGGAAGGGGCGGTTTTGGGGGAAAGTGCAACGTGTCTCTGACCGCATCTCCTCTCCCAGCTTAGAGGGGTTAGGATCCGGAGTCTTCTGCCCAATTCCTGTCACTCCTGGCTGTCTACACAGCCCTTCCATGATGATCTGTGTCAAAGCTCATTCGTCCATATGACAGTATTCTTATTTCAGGCCTGCCATGAGCAGGCACAGTGAGTGCTGAGTCTCCTCTCTGCCCTTGCTTATGGGAAGGGGATGCTGGGGAACCTGGTGGCCCAACTGAGCTTCCCCGGTTTCCCATTCATCCAGCTGCCCTACTTGATTGATGGGACTCACAAGATCACCCAGAGCAACGCCATCCTGCGCTACATTGCCCGCAAGCACAACCTGTGTGAGTGTGGTTTGCTGCAGTGTGTGGGGGGAAGGTGGCCTCCTCCTTGGCTGGATTGGGGTGCGATGCTGAGAGTGAGTCTATGTTTTGTGGGTGGTAGGTGGGGAGACCGAAAAGGAGAAGATTCGGGAAGACATTTTGGAGAACCAGCTTATGGACAACCGCATGCAGCTGGCCAGACTCTGCTATGACCCAGATTTTGTGAGTCTCCCACCCCACTCCCAGTCTCCCCTTTCCCTGCAGAGTTTTGATCGGGAGCCAAGACACTGGTCCTGCCATCTACATGGGTCCTGTTTTCCATTTGAACTCTTTAGTGCTACTCATCCTTCAAGCTATTTCCTATACTGCCACCAGAGTGACCCTCAAACCCCAAAGTCATGTCAAATAAAACCTCTAAATCAATTCCCCACCAATCTACTTACAGAATCTTGACTCTCCGGTATGAATTCACTCTCTAGACAGTAATGGTTACTTCCAGAGTCCCCTCCATCTCTGACCCATGACCTCTTTCCAGATTCTCTCTCCCAGTGGTTTGGACCATCTCTCCCAGTGGTTTATATCATCTGCCTGCTTTGGAATACACAAACTATGAGGAAAACAAGTGCAAAACAAAGGAATCTAATGGCACCTGCAATTTTGGTGTCTTCTGAGTGCTCTCTTGACATACACTGAGATCAGCGAATTTTCCTAACAGGCAGCTTAGGGGCAGCCAGAGGCTTCTTTTTCCCCTCCTTTCTTCTACTCATCCTCTGAATATCTCCTTATCTTTCCAGAAACCACTCAATGGCAATTGTATTCTTCTGCTGCCCCACTAGGAGGAACTTTCTACTTCTTTCTCTGAGCTCCTTTAGTTCTTTGCATCCTTGATTCTGCTCATATCTGGGTCCAGAGCCTGCCAGGTGCTCAGGTGCTCCTGGGGCTGACCCAGAGGTTGTTGGGAGGTCAGTGGGGACAGATTTAGGGACAGTGTCACATTCCGCTCTGCCATCCCATCACCTCAGGAAGACTCCAGCTACCCAGTCAGAGTCTAATAAATGCTGATATATCCAATCGAAGCCTGGGCACTGCCCCAGTTCCAGCTGTGGGGAAGATGGCTGCTTGCCCATGGCCAGCTGGGGCCATGCACAAATCTGGGAGGCCACATCTGTGCAGGGAGCTTTTGTCTGAGGGTGGTGACAGCTGTTTTCTGCCTCAGGAGAAACTGAAGCCAGAATACCTGGAGGGACTTCCTGAAATGCTGAAGCTCTACTCACAGTTTCTGGGGAAGCAGCCATGGTTTCTTGGGGACAAGGTAATGGGGGCATGTGATGGGGACAGTACAGATTTGTCATACTTCCTATATTATGGAGGTTTCAGCCCACATATCCTTGGCCTTATTCAGATCACCTTTGTGGATTTCATCGCTTATGATGTCCTTGAGAGAAACCAAGTATTTGAGCCCAGCTGCCTGGATGCCTTCCCAAACCTGAAGGACTTCATCTCCCGATTTGAGGTGATGCCCCCGTCCTCCTTTGTCTTTATGTCCCTTATTCCTTTCCCTCCTTTGTGATGCTTTCCCAGTCCTGAAGCTACACAAAGAATAACTCGCATTTATGGCCATGCGCGGTGGCTCACGCCTGTAATCTCAGCACTTTGGAGGCTGAGGCAGGCAAATCACCTGTGGTCAGTAGTTTGAGACTGGCCTGCCCAAATGGTGAAACCCCATCTTTACTAAAAAAACAAAAAAACAAAAATTAGCTGGGCGTGGTGGTGAGTGCCTGTAATCCCAGTTACTCAGGAGGCTGAGGCAGGAGAATCACTTAAACCCGGGTGGTGGAAGGTGCGGTGAGCCAAGATTGCGCCACTGCACTCCAGCCTGGATGACAGAGTGAGACTCCATTTCAAGTGGAAAAAAAAAAAGAAAAGAATAACTTGCATTTATTGAGTGCTGGCTTCATGCCACGAACTGTGCCCAGAACATTATACCTATTGCGTGGAATTTGAAATTTATAACACTCCTACAGGGTGGTAGAATCGTCTCCCCCATTTTAGAGATAAGGAAACTGAGAATGAGAGAATCAGTCCTTCTTCAGGGTCTCAGAGCCAGTGGAGGCTGTGCTGGGCTCCCTGTGAGCCTCTGGATCTATGGGCAGCAGTCGGAGCTCTCCCTTTTGTGACAAAAGAAAAAGCCTCAGGCCTTGTCCAGCCTGGGTTTCACAGCCCAGGACATTTTGGAAGAGGCAGAGCACTTCAGGACCACGGATGCAGCTGGCAATAGTAGGACTGACACATAGTAGCATTGATGTTGAATAACTAAACCCACAGGCAGTATTTGTAGCTACCTCCAGAAGCTTTGTACAATCAAACCCCCATGTGGGGAATCCTGAGAGCCAGAACTGTGGCTGGAGCTGGATTAGGGTACATATGTGGGTGTCCCTGTTGAGGAGCTTATGCTGAAATGCCCTGTGCTGGGGCACTTTCCTTCTTTACCTCTCTTCCTCTTTTTTTTTTTTTGGAGACGGAATCTTGCTCTGTCGCCCAGGCTGGAGTGCAGTGGAGTGATCTCGGCTCACTGCAACCTCCATCTCCTGGGTTCAAGTGATTCTCCTGCCTCAGCCTCTTGAGTAGCTGGGATTACAGGTGTGTGCCACCATGTCCAGCTAATTTTTGTATTTTTAGTAGTGATGGGGTTTCGCCATGTTGGCCAGGCTCATCTCGATCTCCTGACCTCAGGTGATCCACCTGCCTCAGCCTCCGTAAGTGCTGGGATTACAGGCATGAGCCACTGTGCCTGGCCTCTTCCTCTCTTTTCTCCCTCCAGTGTTCCACGTGTTCCCCCTGTGAGATGAATGGCACGCTGATTTTACTCCTATTCACTGACCTTCTCTGCATGAGGCAGGGTGTGAGGCACAGTGGGAGATGCATAGATGACTGACCCATCCTGAAAATGAGTACAATGAGAGGCCTGCAGGCAAAGCAGCCTGTGAGGTGTGTGCTGAACTTGCTTGACAGCAGCAAATCCTACATTACTACAGATTTGGGAATTTGAGGCATTAGTCCATCAGGCTTCTGAGCCTTGAATCTGTTTCCCTTTTCCACTCCCCATCAAGAGATCTGCTTGCTCAGCTAGTTCCCATCAGCTCTGGTTCTGTGGTTCTGGTCCAGGCTGAGTGGCCTTGGAGTTATATAAGAGGTGGTGGGAAGGGAGGGGTGGAGGAGAGCGGAGGGCTATGGGCTGTGATGTGCCAGGGTCAAGCCTGTTGCCCAGGCTGGAGTGCAGTGGCATGATCTCGGCTCACTGCAACCACCGCTTCCTGGGTTCAAGCAATTCTCTGCTTCAGCCTCCTGAGTAGCTGGGATTACAGTTGCCCGCCACCATGCCCGGATAATTTTTGTATTTTTAGTAGGGATGGGGTTTCACCATGTTGACCATGCTGGTCTCCAAGTCCTGACCTCAGGTGATCCACCCACCTCGGCTTCCCAATGTGCTGGGATTACAGGTGTGAGCCACCATGCCTGGCTGGATCTTTCTGAATACCTTATCTGGGCATTCAATCCCGGTAAGATTGTGCACAGCACATCTAAGTGTCTTGTAGCCTGATCTGCAGCAGCAGGGCTGGAGATGCCATGGGTTAGGGCACAGTGAGATTTTACTCAGGTACTAGATAGAGAACTTTGGACTTTCTGCTTTAAGGGGAATGATTAGAGCCTAGTCTCACCTTTCATTTTCTTATGCACTGCCACCCCCCATTCCACTTTCATCCAGGTTTTACTGAGACATTGGGTGAGTGTGTTGTGAGCCCGTTTGTTCTGCTGGAGGTCCCTTCTGTGTGTCTACACCCAGACAAGCCAAGAGCCTCCCTGTGGAAAAGGAGACTGTTTGTGCAGTCAAGGGGTGACAGGGCCCGGTGTGAGGGGTGGTGGGGCAGAAGAAGAGATTTTGGCAGAAAGAGGCCAGAACCAGAGAGAGACAGAACCAGGCTACACTGTAGCCCTGTTCCCCTTACTAGGTATTTAAATGTGAGGTAGTTGCTGAACTTCTGTTTCCCACATCAGAAATGATGGTAATAGATTCAGCCTTGCAGAGCAGTCAAGTGGATTTTCTAAGCTTGTATTATAATTTCTCTTGGGTACAGAGCAGCCAGCACAGTGTAGAATCTCCATAAGTGTTAGCTGTTACTGTGGTACAGCATTACTTAAAGGAAGCTGGAAGAGTTAACTCTGCAGATCTGGGGACCCTAAGAGGCTGTGTGATGTCCCAGCACTTGAGCCCACGTGGAAAGGCTGTGGCCAAGGCCCTGACCTGCTGTGTCTGCAGTGGGGCTGTCCCCATGGGCAGCTGACCTTGAGCTCTGGCCTTATTTTCCCCCGTCTCAGGGCTTGGAGAAGATCTCTGCCTACATGAAGTCCAGCCGCTTCCTCCCAAGACCTGTGTTCACAAAGATGGCTGTCTGGGGCAACAAGTAATGCCTGGAAGGCCAGGAGGTGGGAGTGAGGTGCCCATACTCAGCCCTCTGCCCAGGCTGTGGAGCGCAGCTGGACTCTGCATCCCAGCACCTGCCTCCCCATTGCTTTCTCCTGTTTATTCCCATCTTTACCCCCAAGACTTTATTATCCCCGTCTTCACTTCCCCTAAACCCCTGTCCCATGCAGGCCCTTTAAAGCCTCAGCTACCCACTTTTCTTCATGAACATCTCCCTCCCAACATTACCCTTCGCGGCACTAAAGCCAGCCTGACCTTCCTTCCTGTTAGTGGTTGTGTCTGCTTTGAGGGGCCTGCCTAGCCCCTCGCCTGTGGAGCTCAGCCCGGAGCTGTCCCCGTGCTGCATGATAGAGCAGCATTGACTGGTTTACAGGCCCTGCTCCTGTAACATGACCCCTGCCTTAGGCCTACCTGATCGAAGTAAAGCCTCAATCACATTTGCTGTGTCTTGTCTTATTTGCTCCTGGCCATCTACCCAGACTGTCTGTCTGTCACTGCCTCTTCCAAGGGACTGGCTGGTGATCCTGGCAGTGGCCGGGTTCTAACGGAGTCTGCTGGGCATAGTAAGGCATTTGACAGTTCTTGCTCCCGTTTCTGACAGACTCAGAGCAGGAAGCTCCCTGAGGCTCTGTGGAAAGAATGTCTCTTTCTGGGCCTGGGTCTCCCATTCATTCATCCAGCCTTACTGAGTGCTTTCCATAATTACCCAGAGCTTGTGTCTCATTGAATAGGACCCCAAGGGGGTGGAATCTCCATCAGAGAGAACCAGGGTCCCTTTTACCTTCCCCACTATATGACTGCATCACTTCTGTTAGGTCTCCAGGACCCAATCTCTATTGTTTTCTCAGATGGCTTCCAGGTACCCTCTCGAGGCTTGCTGCACAGCTGTCATCAGGACGTTCTCTCTGGGTTTACTTCCTCTGTTTCCTGGATACCTGTGAGAGAAATGTCTTTAGTCCTTGCACAACTGAAAGTGTCTTTACATGCTTACTGAATACTCTGGCTGATGTTTTAGTCTGTTCTCACGCTGCTAATAAAGACATACCCGAGACTGGGTAATTGATAAAGGAAAGAGGTTTAAAGGACTCACAGTTCCACAGGGCCTAGGAGGCCTCATAACCATGGCAGAAGGCAAATGAGGAGCAAAGTCACATCTTCCATGGCAGCAGGCAAGAGGGCCTGTGCAGGGGAACTCCCACTTATAAAACCATCAGATCTCGTGAGATTATTCACTACCACGAGAACAGTATGGGGAAAACTGCCCCCATGATTCAGTTATCTCCACCTGGCCTCCACTCTTGACACCTGGGGATTATTACAATTCAAGGTAAGATGTGGGTGGGGACACAGCCAAACCATATCAGCTGGGGATAGAATTCTATGATGAAAACCTTCAGACCTCTAATAGACTTACCCACTCTTTTCTGAAATTGAGCATTTCTGGTGAGTAGGTGGATGCGTCTGACTGCATCCTTTGATTTTTTAAAGTTATTATTATTTTTATTATTTTGAGAGGGAATCTTACTCTGTTGCCCAGGCTGGAGTGCAGTGGTGTGATCTTGGCTCACTGCAACGTCCCCTTCCCGGGTTCAAAGGATTCTCCTGCCTCAGCCTCCCGAGTAGCTGGAACTACAGGCACACACCACTGTGCCCAGATAATTTTTGTATTTTTGGTTTAGAGACGGGTTTTCACCATGTTGGCCAGGCTGGTCTCGAACTCCTGACCTCGTGATCCACCCACCTCTGCCTCCCAAAGTGCTGGAATTACATGCATGAGCCACTGCGCCTGGCCATATCTTTTGCTTTTTTACTTAAGCTTCTACTGTTTGTCATTCTGAGGTCTATAATTCCAAAGACTACGTGGGGATCTACAGGTTGATGTCTTCCTGACTCACATCCTTGCCGGAACATTCTAAGCATAGGCTTCCTCCACCCTGACAGCAATCCCATAGCTTTATCTGCATTGCATCTTCTTGAAGTAATTTAAAATCTCACTGGAGAGTGAGCTGCTTCAGAGGAAGAATCTCATAGCTTAGCAGTTCCTAAGCTGCGATGCCAGAAATAGTTGTTGAGTCTGTAGGTCAGATATTCATGCAAGGCTCAGCAGGGAGAACTTGTTACAAATCAACAATGGTCTCTTCTCCAAAAACTATATATCCAAAAATACAACTAATTAAAAAATGAGTCAGAATTTCAACAAGCATTTCCCAAAAGTGAATATCCAAATGGTCAATAAGCTCATGAGAAGGTGTTCAACATCATTAGACAGCAGAAAGTTAAAAACCCGTAGATCCTACTGTATCCCCACTAGAATGGCTGACATTGAAAGGACTGACAATTGTTGGTGATTTATGGAGTAACTGGAACTGTCATGCCTTGCTGGTGGGAGAGCCACTTTGGAATACTGGCAGTGTCAGCTGTGGCTAAACATACATCTGCCCAGGACCCAGAAGTCCTGCCCTACAGGAATGAGTCCTAATGGATTCTCAGAACCAGGTATAATGATGTCAAAAGCAGCTTTATTTTAAATAGCCAATAACTGAAAACAATCAAAATTCCATGAGTAGAAGAACGAACAAATGAACTGTGGTTTATGAACATAATTCCATCATTCGTATAATGGAATACTTACTCCGCTATAATAAAAATAAACGTGCTAACACTATGTGCAAAAACATGGATGGGTCACACAGATGGGTTCAGTAAAAGGATCCAGACAGGAGAAAGGACACACGATCTCATTCCACTTACACAAAAATCAGGAGAGGGAAATGAGTCCATGGTATCACAGGTCAGGTGATTGGTGACCCTGGTGAGAACTGGAAGGTTGCCTATCGAAGGCGCCTGGTGGAGTGCTGTAAGTTTTCTCTCTTTATCTGGGAGGTGATTCCAGAAGAGTATACAAGTGAGAAATTCCACAGGGTAGCACACTTAAGGCCTGTGCACTGTATGTATATGACACTTCAGTGAAAAGCATGCATGTATGTCTTACATTATTTGTGTGCTTGTGTGTGTTTGCTTTCCCTCATAAGATGTCAACGTCGTGAGGGCATGTGTTTTTGTCTCTTCTTGTTCACTGATGTTACAGGTGTTTGCACATCATCTAGGACAGTCCCTGAGGATAGTAGGTGCTCACTGAATAGTTAATAAGCAAATTATAGGTTCTTCTGAATGGTGTCATTTCAAATTCTCTTTAGTTTTTTTTCATGCCTACTTCTTCAGATGAGATTGGTGTGCATGTATAGTGTTAGAATCTACAGTTTTTTCACTTTAACATTTTACTTTTTTTTTTTTTTTTTTTGAGACAGATTCTCACTCCTTTGCCCAGGCTGGAGCGCAGTGGTGCAGTCTCAGCTCACTGCAACCTCCGCTTCATGGGTTGAAGCAATTCTTGTGGCGCAGCCTACTGAGTAGCTGGGACTACAGGCATACACCACCACACCTGGCTAATTTTTGTATTTTTAGTAGAGATGAGGTTTTGCCACAATGGCCAGGCTGGTCTCGAACTCCAGGCCTCAAATTATCTACCTGTCTCCTCCTCTCGAAGTGCTGAGATTACAGGTGTGAGCCACCGCGCCTGGTCTAACATTTTACTCAAAAATCTGTATATGGGCCAGATGTGGTGGCTCATGCCTGTAATCCCAGAACTGAACTTTGGGAGGCAGGCAGATCATGAGCTTAGGAAATGGAGACCATCCTGGCTAACATGGTGAAACCCCGTCTCTACAAAAAAATACAAAAATTTGCTGGGCGTGGTGGTGCTTGCCTGTAGTCCCAGCTACTCAGGAGGCTGAGGCAGAAGAATTGCTTGAACCCGGGAGGTGGAGGCTGCAGTGAGCCAAGATCGTGCCACTGCACTCCAGCCTGGGCAACAGAGCGAGACTCTGTCTCAAAAAAAAAAAAAAAAAAAAAATCTGTATATGTTGGCAGTCTGTATGCATGCCTACTTCTGATACTAAATGGCTGCCTAACATTAGTTCCTGTGGATAGTTTGCCTAATTATTCTTATGCTATGGGGTATGTGGATTTTTCTAACTTATTTATTTGTTTTTAGAGCAGGGTAATCATGTTTCAACAATTCCTTCCTGTTTTTGGTTATTTTGAGTAGATCCCCAGAGGCGATTACTACAGGGTAAAGAGTGAGAATGGTTTAATGGTATTATAACAGATAATTTGATTGCTCTCCAGAGAGAGTGACTTAATTTATGGTGCCACCAGCAAGGTACACGGAACTTTCTGCACTACTTTAGACACTTAGGGGATTGCAATTTCATCTTTTTTTTTTTTTTTTTTTTTTAAAATAAGAACACCTTCAAATTTTCTGGCTGGGTGTGGTGGCTCATGCCTGTAATCCCAGCTCTTTGGGAGGCCAAGGCAGGCAGATCACTTGAGGTCAGAAGTTTGAGACCAGCCTAGCCAATATGGTGAAATCCTGTCTCTACTAAAAAATACAAAAGTTAGCCAGGCCTGGTGGTGGGCACCTGTAGTCCCAAATATTCAGGAGGCTGAGGCACAAGAATCGCTTGAACCTGGGAGGCAGAGGTTGAACTGAGCCAAGATCGTGCCATTGCACATTGCACTCCAGCTTGGGTGACAGAGTGAGATTCCATCTCAAAAAAAAAAAGAGTACCTTCAAGTTTTCTTCCTTCACCTTTTTTGTTTATTGGTTGTGCATGTTTCTGCCAATGAATCACACTCTATGAATCTACCTGTTCATGACTCTCCTGCAGAAAACTCTCTGTTTACCCATTCTCTGCCTGTGGCTTAGTCAACTCCTGGAGAAAGGGTAAGAATGATCTCGTGGCAGTCAAGGCTTTTTCTCCCACAGGCTCAATGTAATTAATTGTGATTTTGTTCTTGGTTTTCTGTGGCATAATATGATGGTTAATTTTCTGCATTAACTTGACCAAGCTAAGGGATACTCACATGGTAAAATTATTGTATTTGTGAGGGAGTTTCCAGAAGAGATTGGCCTTTGAATCAGAAGACTGAGCCAAGATTTCTCTCAGCAATGGAGGGGGCTTCCAACAAACTGTCAAGGTCCAGAGAGAAGAAAAAGACAGAGGAAGGGTGCATTTGATCTCTCTGACTGGGACTTCCATCTCCACCTATCCTGGGACATCCACACTCCTTGTTCTGGCCTTCAGACTTGATCAGGGTCTAACACCGTCGCCTCACACCCCACCCTTGTTCTGAGGCCTTTAGACTCACACTGAACGATATAACTGGCTTTCCTGCTTCTCTATCCTGCAGCAGATGATCATGGGACTTCATTCCAAAATTGTGTGAGCCAATTCCCATAAGAGATACCTAGATTTATAAATAAACACATAAATTTCCTACAGGCTTATCTTAGTGGTGACACTTCACATTTTGAAGAACCTTGACTATTACACATAGCAAAAAACAAACAAACAAACAAAAAACCAAACACAAGTGGGTCACCGTCATCAATAAGTAAGTTTTAAAACATTGAACACAGGATAAAAGGCTACAACATATCTATTAGCTGGGTGTAGGGACCAGCCCCACAGGGTCAGTGGGTTTTTCTCCCCGTGTGCGGAGAGGAGAGATTGTAGAAATAAAGACACAAGACAAAGGGATAAATGAAAAGACAACTGGGCCTGGGGGACCACTGCCACCAAGACGCGGAGACCAGTAGTGGCCCCGAATGCCAGGCTGCGCTGATATTTATTGGATACAAGACAAAGGGGCAGGGTAAGGAGTGTGAGCCATCTCCGATGATAGGTAAGGTCACGTGGGTCACATGTCCACTGGACAGGGAGCCCTTCCCTATTTGGCAGCCAAGGTGGAGAGAGGGAGACAGAAGACAGCTTACACCATTATTTCTGCATATCAGAGACTTTTAGTACTTTCACTAATTTTGCTACTGCTATCTATAAGGCAGAGCCAGGTGTACAGGATGGAACATGAAAGTGGACTAGGAATGTGACCACTGAAGCACAGCACCACAGGGAGACGGTTAGGCCTCCGGATAAGTGGGGGCAGGCCTAACTGATGTCAGGTCCTCCACAAGAGGTGGAGGAGGGGAGTCTTCTCTAAACTCCCCCGGGGAAATGGAGACTCCCTTTCCCCGTCTGCTAAGTAACGGGTGTTTTTCCTTGGCACTGACGCTACCGCTAGAACAGGGTCTGCTTGGTAAGGGGCGTCATCCCAGACACTCGTGTTACCGCTAGACCAAGGAGCCCTCTGGTGGCTCCGTATAGGCGTGACAGAGGGCTCACACTCTTTTTTTTTTTGAGACGGAGTCTCTCTCGCTCTGTCACCCAGCCTGGAGTGCACTGGCGCCTCCCGGGTTTACGCCATTCTCCTGCCTCAGCCTCCCCAGTAGCTGGGACTACAGGCACCCGCCACCTCGCCCGGCTAGTTTTTCATATTTTTTAGTAGAGACGGGGTTTCACCGTGGTAGCCAGGATGATTTCGATCTCCTGACCTCGTGATCCGCCCATGTCGGCCTCCCAAAGGGCTGGGATTACAGGCGTGAGCCAACGCGCCCGGCCGGGCTCACACTCTTATCTTCTGATCACTTCTCACTATGTCCCTTCAGCTCCTATCTCTGTATGGCCTGGGTTTTCCTAGGTTATGATTGTAGAGCAAGGATTATTATAATAGTGGAATAAAGAGCAGTTGCTACAAACTAATGATTAATGATATTCATATATAATCATGTCTATGATCTAGATCTAGTATAACTCTTCTTGTTTTATATATTTTATTACACTGGAACAGCTCCCGCCCTCGGTCACTTGCCTCGGCACCTGGGTGGCTTCTGCCCACACCTGGGTTTTTTTTTCTATATGGAAAGAACTGTCTGAGATGCCATGCGGTAAACTCCAAGGAGATTTCCAGGGAAGATATCCTCTTTTCTCCTGGTAAATCTGTCTGTTGATGATCATTATTTTAAAGGCTCCAAAGATCAAAACATCTGCTTGCACATTTTGACGATTCGTTTTGGGTGAGGGTCTCTGGCAGGCTTGGAAGGGTGGGTGAACAGTGGGAAAGGGGCTGCCTCTGTGGTGACTGGCATCACTCATATCCATATCTGTGGCAGTCATCAGGTGCTTATTGTATATTTGACTTTTGGTCACCCCTATGGGGGTGTTAAATGCAGGGAGGGTCTAGTCAAGCCATTACAGGTTGGCAGTGACTTGTAGCAACTTTCTGCACACCTTTCTCAATCAGGGTGGATACCTTTTAAAATAAATTCAGTTCATCCTGCCTAGCTTTGCCCCAGCAGCTCTAGAAGAATTACCCCATGGTGCTGAGCTCGGGCTGCCTGGCTCTGGAACAATGTGCTCAGAGCTGCAGGGGAGGCCTGCTGTCTGGCTGCCAGAGAGAGTCCCACCACTCCCTACCCTGTATCCTGGAAGACGAGGCTGCCCCCAGCCTGTCCACCTAGTAGACCATTTCCCTGCCCAGTTCTCCTTCTCTCATTGCTGATGAGCAGCTTGATGCCCGCAGGGACTGCGCCAGCTGAGATTGTCTCTAGGTCCTCCCTTCTGCCAGCTGGTGTCCAGGGAAGTGGGTCCTTTGGCCTCCTTCCTGCCACCAGAATTTCGAGGACCTTGTTTCTCCCACTGCAGCTTTTGACCCAGTCCTGGCTCATAGACTAGGGTTTCTTAACCTCAGCTGCACAGAGATTTGCAGGGCAGAGTTCTTTGTTGTGAGGCGCTGTCCTGAGCATCGCAGGGCGCTCAGCATCCTACCCATCCTCTCCCCACTAATAGCATGGGCGCTTCCTGCTGTTTACAGCGAACAAAGTCTCCAGGCAGACGTACATGTCCCCTGAGGGGTAAAATCACCTTCACTTGAATCACATCCAGTGGTGGCCTGGATGGATACTGGCATTCAGAAATAATAATAATTTAAAAAAATCATAATGTAACTCATATAGTTATGTCCTTATTGATGCAACATTTAATAATGTAAGTATTATTAATACTTATTAATGATTACATGTATATTTAATGTTTTTTTACCTTTTATTTTGATCTAGTGTCAGAGTTTGAGAAGTTTGTAGAAAGATTATAAATGACTCTGATTACCCTAGATACTAGTGTTCCCACATGGGCTTTCTGCCCCCCAGAGTACCCTCTGCCCCTCCTCCTGCCCCCGCCTTTCTGTCTCTCTCTCCCCCAGCAAGCTCCCTATGAGCACAACTCCAATTATAAGAAAATCACCATTTTCTTTTCTCTGAGGCGGCATTCTTGACGTTTGGATTCAGGCTGAGAAGTGACAGTGATTTATAATCATGCTTGCCTGTGTAGTCCTTCCCATGTTAGGTCATGTCTGTCGTTTATGTTGATGACAATCTGTGTCATCCACGCCATTTTCAAAATTTTTGAAAACATATCCAGCCAAAAGCTAAGGATAAAATGCCCTTTTGTGTTGTTATTTTTCTTTATTGCTCTTTTATTACTTCATTCAGAATCTCTATCTCTTATCATGTTTTGGCCTGTTTGTGTTTCTTCCGCTTGGTGGTAACATCAGTCAACATAGAGTTTAGAAAAAATGTTTCCCCAATTAAAAAAAAAATCACTTATACTACATCTTCTTTCTGATTTGCATTAACTTGTAATTTTATTTTTTGTTTTTGTTGTACTAATACTCTGTTAATCAGCTAACTTTCAAGAAAATAATCTATTATGTATAACAAGCAAATTGGTTAGTTTCAATATTCTTCTTAAGGTAACTTCTTGCTTCCACTTCTTTTTCCATCTCTAACTTTGTTCCTTTTCTACTTTCTTGAAATTCTAGTTTCTTTGCCTTATTTTTGGTATCACAGGCATGTTGGAAAAATGTTTTCTCAGTTCAAATTTGGTAGCATCTTGGATATGGTGATTTTTATTTTCTTCTTTTCAGATTGAAGCAAAGATTCTTTATATTTTGGATTTCCTAAGTTCACCCAAACAATATTTAAGAGACTTTAATACATTTCCATGAAGTAGGATACATTTTATTGTCTGTCAGTATTTGTTTCTAATAGATTGGTTTTTAAAATTCTGACAACATTTTATGTAGATTTTCTGTTAATTTGACTTGAGAATATAAGAATGTTGACAGAAGAGACAGAAGGAATTATGAAATCCAGTCCAGAGGTCCCCTTACAGGCCCTTGGTAAAATGGGACCCAGTGCATTTTGACTGTCTGTGCCAGCGCTGTTTTAAAAATTAGAACTTGTCCACATTTTGCAGTTCGGACAGCACATACAAATCCAGAAGACCTGGCCCTGTCGGGACTGAGTTTCTGTGTGGTGACAACTGGCTACAACCCCTTCCTTCAGAACACTTGCATCTTCCCTCATCCCCGCTGCTCCAGTTCCCCATCCACAGACGCACTGCCCTGCTGGTGTGATTCTCGTGGCCACTGTGGCAGCTACTTTGGAGATCCTGCTGGTCCAGCCCTTCCTGCCTTCCGCAGAGCTATACTCCTCCTTCTGAAGAAGCCACCTGGGGCCTGGGGCCCATCTTCCTGGCTCCTCAGAGTCCTTGCAACAGCAGGCACTGCTTCTCTCTCCTGCACTCAATCCCTCTCCCACTCCACTTCTTCTCAGTGTGCAAAAACACTAAGAAGTGTCCCGTATTTTCAAAATCTCTCCCCTGAAGTTCCCACCTGATATGTAGTTGGAGATGGGCAAAGTACAGTGTCCTTGAAGCATTGTTTTATTCATAGTGCCTGGAATGTGGTAGGATCTCAACAACTGTTGTTTCATTAGAGGAATTACCAAATATGTGAATACCAATGTATCAGTACTGGTTCTATGTGTTTCAAAATTATTATTCTCATGAGTGTTAGCTTTCTTAAAAATTCATTTCTTTTAGTTGGATCTAGACATTTTATCTTTCACAGCTCAAGATGGATAAACTCAGAATCATAAACTCTTAATGCATAATGAGAAATGTAACAATTCCTAGGGCCAGGCACTTGTGTCTGTGCTGGTGCTATTGCCTCAATGCAGGAAAATCTACATGAGAATTCACTTTGAGGCCAAAACTGCTTCCTAAACATGGATACCTACCAGGTATTTGAGCTGGGAGTACTGCCCAGGTCTGGATGGGTGGGGAGTGTTTGCAACAAGGACTGCGCCTTGCCATCCTCAGTGACACAGTGTCCAAGTGCCCCAACTTAGCAGACACCTGCCAACCACCTGATTTCTGTGGCCTAATAGGGATGTGATGAAATCTACCTGTGCCACTCAACCCCAATCCACACGTTATCCAGGTGGTTTGAAACTTTTTTGATATACTGGGTTCATGCTCTGGAGTCCTAACAATGTTTTAGCTAATTACCAAATATATATATATATATATATATATATATATATAGAGAGAGAGAGAGAGAGAGAGAGAGAGAGAGAGAGAGAGCAGTGCAATAACCTTGTCCTTTACATTGTAAAAAGATTTCTCCTTAAAGGTCTATCATCTGTTTTCATATATCCATTATTATTTGTAATATCCTTTAAACAAAGCAAAGTCAACCCCAGGCCAAGCCATTGCACAACTCTTTCAAAATAGTCTCCTTTCTACCTTGAAAGAAGAAAGTTGGCAGGTTGAACGTTGTTTTTGTGGAGCTTGTACCACGAGTCACATATCACAGTGTGACTTCAAAGGCCACTGGAGCCACCATCTCACACTGAAGAACACACATGGGTCAGGAGCCAGGTCCAGGTCCAGAACGGTGGATCTGGAGAGGTGAGAGTCCCAGCCTGTGGTCCTGTGGGGAGCCCTCAGGCTCCTCTCTGGCCACCATACTCTGACCTCCCTCCTCAGCAGGACAGGGTTCTGGCTTCTCTCATGACAGGTTGTGTGGCAGACCAAGTCTCACTAACACAGGCCTCCATAACAACCGGCTCAGTACTGACTGAGTGATTAGATATTAAAAGCTAAGAAAAAAAAAAAAAAAAAAAAGCCGGTACCTTTATACAAAGGCTGGAACGTAACAAAAGCCCACCAACAGTTTTGCTTAGGCCTTTCTTGGGCCTTAAAGCATGACAAAATAACGAAGAAATTCTTAACAGGACCCATTTAGCATTAAACAAGTTTTATTGGGGGTCTGAGGGAACTCCCCACACCTCCGTGAGGTAGCAGGAAACGAGATAAGGGTAATCACCCCTGGCACCTGGACCCATTTAGATAAAGTAAATAGACTGAGGCTCCAGAGTAAGGTCTCAGGACCCAGAACTTAGTTATAGATTAAAGAAGTCAATCACTTATGTCTTTAGATGATGCACACTCACTTGTAGACATATAGCTTAGAAGGTATATATGCTCTGGAAAACTTTGTAATTTTGAGTTGGTCTGGTGGTAATTTCCAGACCTTCTCCCTGTAACCAGTTGCAGAAATAAAAACCTCTCTTCCTCTCCAGGTAATCTGCATCTGGTTATTGGGCCTAGAGAAATAGCAGCCTGACCTTCCGTTTGGTCCGGGAAGTTCTTCCACCCTCCCTCGCCTGCCCTCTGTGGCCACTGCACTCACTGCTGCTGTTGCTGTTTTGGTCTATGTGAGGTTCACCTAGTGGACTGGCTGGACATTTCCAGGGGGCACCTCAGATACCTCACCAACTTGCTGGGTCTGATCCTTTAATTTAGATTCATAAATTGTGCCAAAATACGAAGTGGCTACTTTACATAGTACGTAGTCAGATGACCAAAGGACTCAGTACCCGAGGGCCCCTAACAGAAAACACAGACCACATTTCCTTTACTCTGACCCATTTCTTGGGGATCCTTCCCATACCACTGACACCGTTCCTGTGTAGGCGGGGCTAGAGGGGAGACAAAGCCCTCGGAGTAGCTTTCGAATCAGAGGAAGTCCTGCTCTTACAGTGACGGGCAGAATTAAATTCCCAGGTTGGGGCCACCACCTTTTAGTCTGACCCCTGCAGCCCAAGTCTCCCAGAGCCCGCGGGAACTGGGCAGCGGAGAGAAGGCTGAGGGACTCCGCGGGCAGGGAAGAGAAGGGAGAAGAGCTTTTTGCTCCTTTAGGATCTGGCTGTTGTTTCAAGCGCAGGGCCAGGTCGCTGTGGACTTAGCAAGGGCTGGATGGACTCGTGGAGCCTCAGGGTGGGTTGGGGAAGCTGGCGAAGGTGATTCCCGCTTTCGGGCTTCTGGGCGCCCTGACCTCCCTCCGGGAACCCTCGGGGCTGGGAGGCGGGCGGGGGTCTTACTGATTCCGGCCCCAGAAGCGCCCTCCGGGTCCACAGACTGCCGCGTTTCGGGGGCTTGGCGGGCCAAGGGGCGGGATCACAGCAAGGCCCCTCCTTTCCCCTCTGTGGAGCTCTTATAGTCTGTACCCCGGTTGTGGCCTGTCTGCAGAATCCGCACCAACAGGCACCATGCCCATGACCCTGGGGTACTGGGACATCCGAGGGGTGAGCGAGGGTCAGCTGGACGGTGGGACCAGGGCGCAGGGTGGGAAGTGTGGAGCAGCTGCGGGACCGGCTCTAGGGATCCTTCCTCTTCAGGGAGGTCTCCCTCAGAAGGGCCTGTGCAAGACTCTGTGTGTGTGTATTTGGGGGTGGGGGTGGGCAGAGGAGGCGACGTGTGCGTGCAGTGTAAACTGGGGGTGTTCCTGTTGCAGACAAAGTCACCAAGTCAGGGACCCTCCATCTCTGACCCGAGCTGCCGGCCCTCTCTCCCAGCTGGCCCACGTCATCCGCCTGCTCCTGGAATACACAGACTCAAGCTATGAGGAAAAGAAGTACTTTAGGGAGGATGGTAATGGCACCTTCCTGTCTGGGCCCTGCCCACTCCCGCTGAGTTGGCACCAAGCAACCCATGGTGGCCACCTGTGGCTGCCTCTGCAGGCCTCCCCTGCTGGAGCTGCAGGCTGTCCCTTCCCTGAGCCCCGGGGAGGGAGCCCTCTGGCCTTGCAAGGCAGAATGCTGGGTCGGGATGCTGGGCCCCCTGTCTGGGTAATTGGGTTGGGTGTACCTCAGGGCTTGCCTAAACCCTGGAAGCCTTAGCCTTGTGGGGTCCAGAGCCCTCACCGGGATTCTTTCTCTCTGAACCCTGGGATGTGGGGCTGAGTGGTCAGATTCTAGATCCACCTGTCTCAGGGGTCTTGCCACTGGCTCCTTGAGAGGGTCCCGGGGAAGGAGGGCTGGGCTCTGGGGAGGTTTGTTTTCACTTCATCTTCCCCACCACAGCTCCTGACTATGACAGAAGTCAGTGGCTGAATGAAAAATTCAAGCTGGGCCTGGACTTTCCCAATGTAGGTGCAGGGGAAGGGGCGGTTTTGGGGGCAAGTGCAAGTGTCTCTGACCGCATCTCCTCTCCCAGCTTAGAGGGGTTAGGATCAGGAGTCTTCTGCCCAATTCCTGTCACTCCTGGCTGTCTACACAGCCCTTCCATGATGTTCTGTGTCCAAGCTCATTCGTTCATGTGACAGTATTTCTATCTCAGGCCTGCCATGAGCAGGCACAGTGAGTGCTGAGTCTCCTCTCTACCCTTGCTTATGGGAAGGGGATGCTGGGGAACCTGGTGGCCCAACTGAGCTTCCCCGGTTTCCCATTCATCCAGCTGCCCTACTTGATTGATGGGACTCACAAGATCACCCAGAGCAACGCCATCATGTGCTACATTGCCCGCAAGCACAACCTGTGTGATTGTGGTTTGTTGCAGTGTGTGGGGGGAAGGTGGCCTCCTCCTTGGCTGGATTGGGGTGCGATGCTCAGAAAGACTCTGTGTTTTGTGGGTGGCAGGTGGGGAGACAGAAGAGGAGAAGATTCGTGTGCACATTATGAAGAACCAGACCATGGACAACCATATGCAGCTGGTCATGATCTGCCACAACCCAGAATTTGTGAGTCTCCCCAGTGATCTGCACCTGGCAGAGTTTGGATTTGGGACCAGGACTCTTGCATTCCTGCACATACTGGTCTTTTCTTAAGTCCTTGGTACCACTCATCCTCCAAGTGCTTTCCCATACTATCAACAGTTATCCTTACGACTCCAATGTCATGTCAACAAAAGCAGAGGCAATTCCCAGCAATCTTAGGACACGATCCAGGCATCCCAGGGTAGGAATTCAATTCCTAGATGGTAAAGTTTGTGTTCAGAATCTCCTTCATTGCCTCTGGCCTCTGACTTCTGTCCTGGGTCATTTCTCTCAGCCAGTTCACATCACCTGCCTGCTCCTAGAATATACAGACTCAAGTACAAGACAGAGGAATGTAGTGGCACCATTGAATTGCATCTTCTCCTCCACAGTTTTCCAAGTGCTGTCATTGACATGCATAGGGATCCACGCATTTTCATAACAGGCAGCTCAGAGGCAGCCAGCGGGCCTTTATTCCTCTCCCTCTTTCCTTTCAACCTGAACTTCTCATCTCCCTGGAAACTGGTCAATGTCCATGTTTTCTCTTGCCACCCCATTAGGAGGAACTTTCTACTTCTTTCCCTGAGCTCCTGTAGTTCTTTGCATCCTTGATTCTGCCCATGTCTGGGTCCAAAGGCTGCCAGGTGCTCGGGCGCCACTGGGGCTGACCCAGAGGTTATTGGGAGGTCAGTGATAACAGATTCAGGGACGGCATCTCATTCCTCTCTGCCTTCTGATCACTTCAGATAGGGTCTGGCACCCAGTCGGAGTCTAATAATTGCTGATGTATCCAACTGAAGCCTGGGCACTGCCCCAGTTTTAGTTGCGGGGAAGACGGCTGCTTGCCCACGGCCAGCCTGGGCCATCCACAGCCCTGGGGAGGCCATGTCTATGCAGGGAGCTTTTGTCTGAGGGTGGTGACAGCTGTTTCCTGCCTCAGGAGAAACTGAAGCCAAAGTACTTGGAGGAACTCCCTGAAAAGCTAAAGCTCTATTCACAGTTTCTGGGGAAGTGGCCATGGTTTGCAGGAGACACGGTAAAGAAGGAGTGATATAGGGAATGAGATCTGTTTTGCTTCATGTGTTGTGGAGGTTCCAGCCCACATATTCTTGGCCTTGTGCAGATCACTTTTGTAGATTTTCTCGTCTATGATGTCCTTGACCTGCACCATACATTTGAGCCCAAGTGCTTGGATGCCTTCCCAAATTTGAAGGACTTCATCTCCCGCTTTGAGGTGATGCCCCCATCCTCCTTTCTCTTTGATGCCCCTTGTTCCTTTCCCTCCTTTGAGATGCTTTCCCAGTCCTGGAGCTACACATAGAATAACTTGCATTTATTGAGCATTGGCTTCATGCCACGAACCGTGCCCAGCACATTATACCTATTGTGTGGAATTTGAATTTTATAACATTCCAACAGGGTGACAGAATTATCTCGCCCATTTTGGAGATAAGGAAACTGAGAATGAGATGGTCAGGCATTGCTCAGGGTCCCAGAGCCGGTGGAGGCTGTGCTGGGCTCTCTATGAGCCTCTGGATCTATGGGTGGCAGTCAGGGCTCTCCTGTATGTGACCAGAGAAAAAGCCTTAGGCTTCCCCTAGCCTGGGTTTCACAGCCCAGGACACTTTGGAAGAGGCAGAGCACTTCGTGACCATGGATGGAGCTGGCAATAGTAGGACTGGCACAACGGTGGCGTTGATGTCTAGTGCTAAACCCACGGGCAATATTCATTGCTACCTCCAGAAGCTTTGCATGATCGGACCCCTGTGTGGGGAGTCCTGAGAGCCAGGGCTGTGGCTGGAGCTGGATTAAGGTACATATGTGGGTGCCCCTGTTGAAGGAGTTTATGTTGAAATGCCCAGTGCTGGGGCACTTTCTTACTCCACCTGTCTTCCTTTTTTTTTTTTTTTTCGAGACAGAATCTTGCTCTGTTGCCCAGGCTGGAGTACAGTGGAGTAATCTTGGCTCACTGTAACCTCCGCCTCCTGGGTTCAAGCGATTCTCCTGCCTCAGCTGCCAGAGTAGCTGGGATTACAGGTGTGCGCCACTATGTCCAGCTAATTTTTGTATTTTTAGTAGAGACGGGGTTTCACCATTTGGCCAGGCTGGTCTCAAACTCCTGACCTCAGGTGATCTGCCCGCCTTGGCCTCCCTAAGTGCTACTCCTCTTCTCTTTTTTCCCTCCAATGTTCCACGTGTTCCCCCTGTGAGATGAGTGGCACGCTGGTTTTACTCCTGTTTACTGACCTTCTCCTCTGCATGAGGCAGGGTGTGAGGCACAGTGGGAGATGCATAGATGACCGCCCCATCCTGGAAAAGAGTGCAGTGAGAGGCCTGCCGGCAGAGCAACCCTTGAGGGGTGTGTGGCACCACCTGGGTACTGGGCCCGGGGCCTGCCCTCACTCACGGAGAAGCATCCCTCACCCGTGTTGATGTTGTTTGAGAGCAGCAAATCCTGCTTTAGGACAGATTTGGGAATTTGAGGCACTAGTCCAAAGGGCTTCTGAGCCTAGAATCTGTTTCCCTTTCCCACTCCCCATCAAGAGATCTGCTTGCTTAGCTAGTTCCCATCAGCTCTGGTTCTGGTCCAGGCTTAAGTGGCCTTGGAGTTATGTAAGATGTGGTGGGAAGGGAGGGGTGGAGGACAGCTGAGGTCTCTGGCCTGTGACATGCCAAGGTCAATCAGTTTGAGAACAAGCAGTCCGGGAATTTTTTTTTTTTTTTTTTTGAGATTGTGTCTTGCTGTTGCCCAGGCTGGAGTGCAGTGGCGTGATCTAGGCTTACTGCAACCTCTGCCTCCTGGGTTCAAGCAATTCTCTGCCTCAGCCTCCTGAGTAGCTGGGATTACAAGTAGCCGCTACCACACTCAGCTAATTTTTCTATTTTTAGTAGAGATGGGCTTTCACCATGTTGACCAGGCTGGTCTCGAACTCCTGAACTCAGGTGATCCACCTACCTCGGCTTCCCAATATGCTGGAATTACAGGTGTGAGCCACCATGCCTGGCTAGATCTTTTTGAATACTCTATATGGGAATTCAATCCTGGTAAGATTGTGCACAGCACATCTGAGTGTCTTGTAGCCTGATCTGCAGCAGCAGGACTGGAGATGCCATGGGTTAGGGCACAGTGAGATTCTGCTCAGGTATTAGATGGAGAACTTTGGACTTTCCCCTTTAAGGGGAATGATTAGAGCCTAGTCTCATCTTTCATTTTCTTATGCACTGCCACCCCCCATTCCACTTTCATCCAGGTTTTACTGAGACATTGGGTGAGTGTGTTGTGAGCCCGTTTGTTCTGCTGGAGGTCCCTTCTGTGTGTCTACACCCAGACAAGCCAAGAGCCTCCCTGTGGAAAAGGAGACTGTGCAGTCAAGGGGTGACAGGGCCCGGTGTGAGGGGTGGTGGGGCAGAAGAAGAAGAGTATTTTGACAGAAAGAGGCCAGAACCAGAGAGAGACAGAACCAGGCTACATTGTAGCCCTGTTCCCCCTTACTAGGTATTTAAATGTGAGGTAGTTGCTGAACTTCTGTTTCCCACATGAGAAACGATGGTAATAGATTCAGCCTTGCAGAGCAGTCAAGTGGATTTTCTAAGCTTGTGTTATAATTTCTCTTGGGTACAGAGCAGCCAGCACAGTGTAGAATCTCCATAAGTGTTAGTTGTTACTGTGGTACAACATTACTTAAAGGAAGCTGGAAGAGTTAACTCTGCAGATCTGGGGACCCTAAGAGGCTGTGTGATGTCCCAGCACTTGAGCCCATGTGGAAAGGCTGTGGCCAAGGCCCTGACCTGCTGTGTCTGCAGTGGGGCTGTCCCCATGGGCAGCTGACCTTGAGCTCTGGCCTTATTTTCCCCCGTCTCAGGGCTTGGAGAAGATCTCTGCCTACATGAAGTCCAGCCGCTTCCTCCCAAGACCTGTGTTCACAAAGATGGCTGTCTGGGGCAACAAGTAATGCCTGGAAGGCCAGGAGGTGGGAGTGAGGAGCTCATACTCAGCCCTCTGCCCAGGCTGTGGAGCGCAGCTGGACTCTGCATCCCAGCACCTGGCTCCTCATTCCTTTCTCCTGTTTATTCCCATCTTTACCCCCAAGACATTATTGCCCCGTCTTCACTTCCCTTAAACCCCTGTAACATGCAGGCCCTTTAAAGTCTCAATTACCTACTTTTCTTCATGAACATGCGCCTCCCAACATTACCCTTCGCTGCACTAAAGCCAGCCTGACCTTCCTTCCTGTTAGTGGTTGTGTCTGCTTTGAGGGGCCTGCCTAGCCCCTCGCCTGTGGAGCTCAGCCCCAAGCTGTACCTGTGCTGCATGAAAGAGCAGCATTGACTGGTTTACAGGCCCTGCTCCTGTAACATGACCCCTGCCTTAGGCCTTCCTGATCGAAGTAAATCCTCAGCCACGTTTGCTGTGTCTTGTCTTATTTGCTCCTGGCCATCTACCCAGACTGTCTGTCTGTCTGTCACTGCCTCTTCCAAGGGACTGGCTGGTGATCCTGGCAGTGGCCGGGTTCTAACGGAGTCTGCTGGGCATAGTAAGGCATTTGACAGTTCTTGCTCCCATTTCTGACAGACTCAGAGCAGGAAGCTCCCTGTGAGGCTCTGTGGAAAGGATGTCTCTTTCTGGGCCTGGGTCTCGCATTCATTCATCCAGCCTTACTGAGTGCTTTCCATAATTACCCAGAGCTTGTGTCTCATTGAATAGGACCCCAAGGGGGTGGAATCTCCATCCGAGAGAACCAGGGTCCCTTTTACCTTCCCCACTATATGACTGCATCACTTCTGTTAGGTCTTCAGGACCCAATCTCTATTGTTTTCTCAGATGGCTTCCAGGTACCCTCTCCAGGCTTGCTGCACAGCTGTCATCAGGACGTTCTCTCTGGGTTTACTTCCTCTGTTTCCTGGGTACCTGTGAGAGAAATGTCTTTAGTCCTTGCACAACTGAAAGTGTCTTTACATACTTACTGAATACTCTGGCTGATGTTTTAGTCTGTTCTCACACTGCTAATAAAGACATACCTGAGACTGGGTAATTGATAAAGGAAAGAGATTTAAAGGACTCACAGTTCCACAGGGCCTAGGAGGCCTCATAACCATGGCAGAAGGCAAATGAGGAGCAAAGTCACATCTTCCATGGCAGCAGGCAAGAGGGCCTGTGCAGGGGAACTCCCACTTATAAAACCATCAGATCTCGTGAGATTATTCACTACCACGAGAACAGTATGGGGAAAACTGCCCCCATGATTCAGTTATCTCCACCTGTCTCCCATGCTTGACACCTGGGGATTATTACAATTCAAGGTAAGATGTGGGTGGGGACACAGCCAAACCATATCAGCTGGGGATAGAATTCTATGATGAAAACCTTCAGACCTCTAATAGATTACTCACTCTTTCTGAATTGAGCATTTCTGGTGAGTAGGTGGATGCGTCTGACTGCATCCTTTGATTTTTTAAAGTTATTATTATTGTTATTATTTTGAGAGGGAATCTTACTCTGTTGCCCAGGCTGGAGTGCAGTGGTGTGATCTTGGCTCACTGCAACGTCCCCTTCCCGGGTTCAAAGGATTCTCCTGCCTCAGCCTCCCGAGTAGCTGGAACTACAGGCACGCACCACTGTGCCCAGATAATTTTTGTATTTTTGGTTTAGAGGTGGGTTTTCACTATGTTGGCCAGGCTGGTCTCGAACTCCTGACCTTGTGATCCACCCACCTCAGCCTCCCAAAGTGCCGGAATTACATGCATGAGCCACTGCACCTGACCATATCTTTTGCTTTTTTACTTAAGCATTTTCTGCCATTCTGAGGTCTGTAATTCCAAAGACTGCGCGGGGATCTACAGGTTGATGTCTTGCTGACTCACATCCTTGCCGAAACATTCTAAGCACAGGCTTCCTCCACCCTGACAGCAATCCCATAGCTTTATCTGCATTGCATCTTCTTGAAGTAATTTAAAATCTCACTGGAGAGTGAGCTGCTTCGAAGGAAGAATCTCATAGCTTAGCAGTCCCTAAGCTGTGATGTCAGAAATAGTTGTTCAGTCTGTAGGTCAAGTATTCATACAAGGCTCAGCAGAGAGAATTTGTTACAAATCAACAAAGGTCTCTTCTGCAAAAAGTGTAGATCTAAAAATACAACTAATTAACAAATGAGTCAGAATATCCAAATGGCCAATAAGCTCGTGAGAAGGTGTTCAACATCATTAGACAGCAGAAAGTTAAAAACCCGTAGATCCTACTGTATCCCCACTAGAATGGCTGACATTGAAAGGACTGACAATTGTTGGTGATTTGTGGAGTAACTGGAACTGTCATGCCTTGCTGGTGGGAAAGTCACTTTGGAATACTGGCAGTGTCAGTTGGGGCTAAACATACATCTACCCAGGACCCAGAAGTCCTACTCTACAGGAATGAGTCCTGTTGGATTCCAAGAGCCAGGTATAATGATGTCAAAAGCAGCTTTATTTTAAATAGCCAATACCTGAAAACAACCCAAATTCCATGACTAGAAGAACGAACAAATGAACTTGGTTTATCAACATAATTCCATCATTCGTATAATGGAATACTTACTCCGCTATAATGAAAATAAACGTGCTAACGCTATGTGCAAAAACATGGATGGGCCTCACGGACGTGTGGAGTAAAAGGATCCAGACAGGAGAAAGGACACACGATCTCATTCCACTTACACGAGAATCAGGAGAGGGAAATGAGTCCATGGTATCACAGGTCAGGTGATTGGTGACCCTGGTGAGAACTGGAAGGTTGCCTATCGAAGGCGCCTGGTGGAGTGCTGTAAGTTTTCTCTCTTTATCTGGGAGGTGATTCCAGAAGAGTATACAAGTGGAAATGCCCACAGAATAGCACACTTAAGGCCTGTGCACTGTATGTACATTACACTTCAGTGAAAAGCATGCACATGTGTCTTACATTATTTGTGTGCTCTTGTTTGTTTGCTTTCCCGCATAAGATGTCAACGTCATGAGGGCGTGTGTTTTTGTCTCTTCTTGTTCACTGATGTTACAGGTGTTTGCACATCATCTAGGACAGTCCCTGAGCATATTAGGTGCTCATTGAATAGTTGTTAAGCAAATTATAGGATCATCTTAATGGTGGCATTTCAAATTATCTTTAGATTTGTATTCATGCCTACTTCTTTGGATAGGTGAGACTGGTGTGCATGTATACTCTTAGATTCTACAGTTTTTTCTCTTTAATATTTTACTTTTTTTTTTTTTTTTTGAGACAGAGTCTCACTCTGTTGCCCAGGCTGGAGCACAATGGTACAGTCTCAGCTCACTGCAACCTCCGCCTCCTGGGTTCAAGCGATTCTCGTGCCTCAGCCTCCTGAGTTGCTGGGACTACAGGCATACACCACCACACCTGGCTAATTTTTGTATTTTTAGTTGAAATGACGTTTTGTCATGATATCCAGGCTGGTCTCAAAATCCGGGCCTCAAGTTATCCACCCACCTCTACCCCTCATAGTGCTGGGATTACAGGTGTGAGCACCACGCCTGGCCTAACATTTTACTTAAAAATCTGTACATGGGCTGGGCGGGGTGGCTCATGACTGTAATCCCAGCACTTTGGGAGGCCAAAGCAGGCAGATCACAAGGTTAGGAGATCGAGACCATGCTGGCTAACATGGCGAAACCACTTCTCTAGTAAAAATATAAAAATTAGCCAGGTGTGGTGGCCCTTTCCTGTAGTCCCAGCTACTCAGGAGGCTAAGGCAGAGAATCGCTTGAACCCGGGAGGCGGAGGCTGCAGTGAGCCAATATCGTGCCGCTTCTCTCCAGCCTGGGCAACAGAACAAGACGCTGTCTCAAAAACAAAACAAAACAAAAATCTGTATATGTTGGCAGTCTATATGCATGCCTGCTTCTAATATTAATGGCTATCTAACATTAGTTCCTGTGGATAAACTGTAGTTTGCCTAGTCATTCTTATGCTATGGGATATGTGAATTTTTCTAACTTATGTATTTGTTTTTAGAGCAGGGTGATCATGTTTCAACAATTCCGTCCCGCTTTTGGTTACTTTGAGTAGATCCCCAGAGGCGATTACTACAAGGTAAAGGGGGAGAATGGTTTAATGGTATTATAACAGATAATTTGATTGCTCTCCAGAGAGAATAACTTAATTTATGGTGCCACCAGCAGGGTACACGGACCTTTCTGCACTATTTTAGACACTTAGGAGATGGAGATTTCATCTTATGATTTTTTTAAAAATAAGAACACCTTCAAATTTTCTGGCTGGGTGTGGTGGCTCATGCCTGTAATCCCAGCACTTTGGGAGGCCGAGGCGGGTGGATCACTTGAGATCAGGAGTTTGAGACCAGCCTAGCCAATGTGGTGAAACCCTGTCTCTACTAAAAATACAAAAATTAGCCAGGCGTGGTGGTGGGCACCTGTAGTCCCAGCTATTCAGGAGGCTGAGGCACAAGAATCGCTTGAACCTGGGAGGCAGAGGTTGAACTGAGCCAAGATCGTGCCATTGCACATTGCACTGAGACAGAATGAGATTCCATCTCAAAAAAAAAAAAAAGAATACCTTCAAGTTTTCTTCCTTCACCTTTTTTGTTTATTGGTTGTGCATGTTTCTGCCAATGAATGACACTCTATGAATCTACCTGTCATGAATCTCCTGCAGAAAACTCTCTGTTTACCCATTCTCTGCCTGTGGCTTAGTCAACTCCTGGAGAAAGGGTAAGAATGATCTCGTGGCAGTCAAGGCTTTTTCCCCACAGGCTCAATGTAATTAATTGTGATTTTGTTCTTGGTTTTCTGTGGCATAATATGATGGTTAATTTTGTGCATTAACTTGACCAAGCTAAGGGATACTCACATGGTAAAATTATTGTATTTGTGAGGGAGTTTCCAGAAGAGATTGGCCTTTGAATCAGAAGACTGAGCCAAGATTTCTCTCAGCAATGGAGGGGGCTTCCAACAAACTGTCAAGGTCCAGAGAGAAGAAAAAGACAGAGGAAGGGTGCATTTGATCTCTCTGACTGGGACTTCCATCTCCACCTATCCTGGGACATCCACACTCCTTGTTCTGGCCTTCAGACTTGATCAGGGTCTAACACCGTCGCCTCACACCCCACCCTTGTTCTGAGGCCTTTAGACTCACACTGAATGATACAACTGGCTTTCCTGCTTCTCTATCCTGCAGCAGATGATCATGGGACTTCATTGCAAAATTGTGTGAGCCAATTCCCATGAGAGATACCTAAATTTATAAATAAACACATAAATTTCCTACAGGCTTATCTTAGTGGTGTCACTTCAAAGTTTGAAGAACCTTGACTATTACACATAGCAAAAAACAAACAAACAAACAAACAAAAAACCAAACACAAGTGGGTCACCGTCATCAATAAGTAAGTTTTAAAACATCG